CAACTATAGGAAAATTGGTGGCCTATCATTAATTCTTTTCACTCTATTGGTTTCTGCCATCACTTTTTAATAAAAATTTTAAGCCTCTTAGCAATGTAGACAATACTTCTCTGACTATCTTGCCTTTTGTTAAATCATCTTTGCATTAATTTCAAATAATAATAGCCCAGTCTAAGAATTCGTCAAACTTTATTGGTGAATGATTCGATCTACTGGTTATAATCTTTTAAATCTTTGAAAAAGAAAATAAAAATCTTTTAGTCTCTGCCTCACCTGCAGAGTATAATGCTTTATCATACCTATTTTTCTGCTTTTGAAAAGCATGATATACTTTTCACAACACTTTCATGTATATTGTCTTTTTGTGATCTCACATTCTTCTATGGACAGAGCCTTTCTTTTGTCCAGTAAACATTTATTAGGTACCTACTACTTGAAAGATATATATCCAACTCGCTGCTTCCTTTTGGCATCTGAACATCTAGTAATCATGTCAAAATGTCCATGCCCTTAACCAAGATCCTGATCTTCCCAACAAACCTGCTCCAACCACATCTTAGATGATGGCAACTCTAAACTTCAGATGCTCAGGCCCAAACTTTGGAATCAACCTTGACTTCCCCCCAGCCCCTCTCTCTCACATTCCACATCCTAACTGCCTGGAAATCATACTGGCTGTACCTTCAAAATACATATCTAGAACCTGACCATTTCTAATCATGCTATCTTTTCAGACACACTGTCTCTAGTTTGATCAGTGTAATAGCCTCCCAACTAACCTCTGCTCAGCCCTTCAGTCCATTCTTAACACAGCAGCATAAATGTAAAAATGGAAGTCAAATCACATCACTCTCCTGCTCAAAACTCTCCCAGGGCTCCCCTTATCACTCAAAGTCCTCAAAATGATCCACAAGGCCCTACAGAACTGGCTCCCCACCCTCCAGTCTCTTTAAACTCATTTCCTGACAAGTTCCCCCTCATTCATTCTAGCTGCACTGAACCCCTTGCTGTTCCTGCAACATTGCTACACAGGGTTCTGCCTCAGGGCCTTTGCACTGGCTCTCCCCTCTGCCTGGCACTCTTCTCCCGGTCAGTCATGTCGTTTGCTTCCTGATTTCCTTCAGGTCTTTACTCAGATAGAACCTTCTCAGGAACACCTTCCCCGATCACCCCACTTATACCTGCAATATCCCATCACCAACTCTCTATCGCCCTTTCCTTCTAAATTTTGATCCATAGTGTTTATCGCCATCTTTACTTGTCCAAAAGGGCTAGGTTATTCTGTGATAAACAACCTCAAACTCCATAGCCTACCCTTAAAATTATTTTCTCACTCAGGCAGAGCCCACTGCAGGGCTAGTTGATTTCTAGGCCTCTTCTAGCAGTGACCAAGGAATCCAGGATGTTTCTACTTTGTGGCTTAACATGTGCCTTCCACTGGCTGCAGCAGGGGAAGAGAGCTGGAGGGTTATGGACCAGCTCTTATGTACTTTGGACTAGAAGTGACACGTCATTCCTGCTCAGAGCCCACTGACACCTCCCAGCTGCAAGGGCCTACGACATCTGGGGCAGCTTTGGTGCCAAACCATGTCCCATTCTATATTTGTTATTTATTTATTTACTGTCTGTCTCTTTCCACTGAATAGTCCCATGATAGCAGGGATTTGTGACAGTTTTGTTACTGCTGTATTCACAGTGCTTAGTATATACCCCCAGCGTCAGAACATTGGTGGGATGAATGAATGAGAGAATGAACGAATGAATGACAGGCTCACAGCATGTGGGAGTAGATAAGCCAACAGTCTAGCATGGAGTGAGCTGAGTGCTGTGGTGGAGACAGACAGGTCACAGGGAGAAGCACTTTATATCTCTGGGCAGAGCTGAGTGCTCTGCCCAGAGATATAAGAAAGACTTCTCGGAGAGGTAATATTTGAATGAAAACTTGAATAGAGGAGGTGAGGGACAGAAGGGCCATTGTGAACAAGACCCTGAGGTGTGAACAGCTCTGCTCATTCAGAGGAGGACCAGGCCCAGCACCATGAGAATGAAGGTACAGGGGCAGTGGAGGGAAATGAGTTCTGGGAGGCTGACAGCAGCCAGCTTGTGCCCAGCCTTGTAAACTTTACCAAGGAGCTTGGACTTTATCTCCTGAAAAACAGGAAATTCCTGAAGACCTCAAGCAAGGGAATAAATGTGATTACATCTGGGCAAAGGTCCTGAGAAATTTACAAAGCAATGAGGAGTGCCATTGTCTTACTTAGAATTCTCTGTTCCTCTCCAACCTTGCAGTTAGTCCCACATCCTGAGGAGAGCCTCTGCTTTCACGGTCTGGCCCGCTTTTTTTCTGCAGCCTCATCTCCACTGCTTGCTCACAACAGCCTCTGCTACTAGCATGTCAAGTCCAGGCCGATCCTGAACACGCCATGAGATGTCAGGCCTGTGTGCCTGAGGAGACACGCTCAAACTCCAACAGACAGGAGAAGCCTACTGTCTCTCATTCTGGGGCTCTTTCTACTCTGCCATGTGCCTCAAGTACATGGCAGAGTGTCTGTGATAGGCTGTAGGTGCTTCCCTTACTGGTATTGTCACTGGGCAAACGTGTGTTAATACTAGCCCAAGATTTTCCTTGTGATCAAACACACTCGGCCTAGGGAAGGGGTCTCCACCTTAGAGCCTTCTTCAATGTCAGCTCCCCAGGCTGGTGAGCCCAGTGATCTTGCTCCCAGTAGCCTCAGCCCTGGGCCTGGTGGGATCAGCCCAAGAAATCATCTGTGCCTTCCATCCCATACACAGGATGGACTTTCTAGATTAAATCCTGACAAGGCCACATACAGGGAGTACAGCTAAACCACATGGTCCTATTTTAAAGTCTCTGAAGGAAGGCCACTTCCTTAAGTTTCTCACACTAAAGTAGTAGCTGCTGGCAGCTTCTAAGGATGCAGTTATTCCTGTCATTTATGAGAGCACGGGAAAGAAATGCTGCATTACCCTTGAAATCTCTTCTTATGATCAATGGTGCAGGATAGGATTTGTCCCCCCTCTCCTCCTTCATTCATTCTCTTCCTCCCACTTCACCCCACCTCCAATCCAGGACAAACAAACTGGGAGAGGGGCTCAGTGGTAAGAAAGATCTTTCTTTAATCCATTAGCAAATAACACACTACAGCTGTGATATGAGAAAGCAGGATATTAGCAAGAGAAAGATGAGTTTGTTTCCTAGGTGTGCTTGTTTCGAAAGTGCCCTAGCCCTCCTGTCCAGCTTCACTGAGGGGCATACTAACTGGACTTGACTAACTATGAGCTAGGACCATGGGAGAGGGGCAGGGGGTAAAAGGGGAGTCTGTGTACACTAAAGAGATGGGAGTGGGTACTTGCTAGGGAACGAGACCAAAAAGAGAGTCTCCCTGATACTCAGTGAAAGTTGGATTCTAGGAGACTAGGTAGGAAAAACAAGAAAATGTTTTTCAATATCTAGAGCTGAACTGTTCAACGCAGTAGCCTCTAATCACATGTGGCTATTGAGCACTTGAAGTGTGGCTTGTCTGAGTTGAGACGTGCTATACATATAAGCTACATATTAGATTTTGAAGATTTAGTATGAAAAAATGTACACTATCTTACCAATGATTTCTTGTATTGATTACATGA